CCAGTCGGAGAAAGATAAATATCACATGATCTCACTCATATGTGGGATATAATGAACAACATAAACTGATGAACAAAAATAGATCCAGAGGCAAGGTAACACTGAACAGGCCTTCCAACCTCAGAAATAAGGCCTGGGAAGGGGGTTAGAGATCAATCAAAGGACTTGCTGAATGCATATTAGCATAAGCAGTGGACACAAACACTGAGGTGGTGGGGGCTTGTCCTGGGTTGTGGGAGTGACGGGGGGGTCTATCATGGAAAAATGAGACATATGTAATACTTTAAATAATGAAAAAAGATCAGAACTCAAGCAGTGAACATACTTCACGGACCCCGACATTCCAAAACATAAAGTTCACTGCCTCCTTCAGTCTTCTGCAGCCAGCAAAACAAAAAATGGCGGGAGGGTGTCTATCTGGGAAAAAGGAGACATATGTAATACTTTAAATATTAAAAAAAGATCAGAACTGAAGCAGTGAACACGCTTCCTGGACCCTGACATTCCAAAGCAGAAAGTTTGCTGCCTCCTTCAGTCTTCTGCAGCCAGCAAAACAAAAAAATGGGGAGATGTGGGAGAGCACATGAATTGGTTGGAAATTTTATAAGGAGGAATCTCTGAAAGGTGGGGGGCCTTCAGGGGGAGCTGGCCAAAGGTGGCCACCCCTGCCTTGACTTTTCCAAAGAAGTCTGAGCCCCCAGGTGTTTCACTGGAATTATGTGTAGTCTTTAGAAGTCCTTGCTTAAAGGACACTGCAGACTCATGTGTCTTCTCAAGGATACTTACCCTACTGATAGTATCTGATAGTTTAGTTCAAGCGGTTGTTACAATAACAGCCTAAGGAGGCAGGCGAAAGGGCTGTTTGGTTTCTCAAGACAAGCAGTCCCTTAGCCCTGTCTTTCACAGAAACATGTGTCAGAGTAATCATTCATCCATCACTCAGGGGCTGCTGGTCAGCCCCAGCAGAAACCGAAATAGTATATTTTTTCAATGGAGTCAGACCTGGCTTTCCCAGGCCAGGGAGAAGAGTGCCTGTTCAGTACCTTGGGGGCATTGCTCCAAGGAGCAGGACCCTTACTTCTCTGGAAATCCTTGCAGGTAATGTGGATAAAACACCGGTCTCTTCACTGTGTAATCCTACAATGGGATAGGTGTACAGGGCATAAACCGTTCCACCTACCTAAGGTGGACATTTCTCTCTGGTTTATACATGATCCAGAAGGAATTTCCAAGCAATTTCTCTTTTCATACTCTCCCCTCAAGCCCAAAACACACTATCAGCAAGATCTGTCCACTGCCACTACTCAGCTTCATTACAATCAACCCCCACAGAGGGGATCACAGTTTCCCAAAGCCCCAAACTGTCCTGGCCATGTCTTTTACATTGGAGTGCTGTCCCCTGGAGCCCCACCGCCTCTCCCTTTCTTTTGCTTGTTCTATAGCACTTAGGGCAGCGGTTCACAACCTGTGGGTTGCAACCCCTTTGGTGGTCAAACGACCCTTTTACAGGGGTTGCCTAAGATCATCCTGCATATCAGATATTTACATTACAATTCATAACAGTAGTAACATTACATATATGAAGTAGCAACGAAAATAATTTTATGGTTGGGTCACAACATGAGGAACTGTATTTAAAGGGCCAAAAGGTTGAGAACCACTGACTTAGGGGATACCTCGACACCTTCATTATATGTCTGCGGCTCCCACTGTCATCCTGTGGGTGGGTAGGTCCTACTTATGTTGGTGCCAACTACTAACACAGGGCATTTCAGAGGACAGACATTTACAGAGGCTCAGTAAATGTCTGGAGAATATATGAACCACTGAGCAGGGGTCATCTTTATTCAGATGAAATGCCTCCATTTTCTTAAATGAACCAAGCAAATCCTAGGACCCTTATGTAGTTTCTTTCATAGAATGACAGCTGAGAAGGGATAATAAGTAAGAATTAATAAGCTTTTACTTTTATTTCTCTCTATTTATTGACCCCATCGATTATACTGCTGAGTTCTTTCACATTTTCATGAAAATCCTGTTCTAATGCCATGTCATCTACTTGAGAATCACAAACTAAGCTGAAAGGCGTCCCATTTTGTGTTACACAATAACACAACTCTTACTTTCAAACTGAATAGTACAAATACATTTATGGTCAACATTGTTCACAAAATTGGGTTCTGAAGCTTATGGAACCTTCTAGGAAAAGAGACACATTTGAAAATTCCTAAAGGAAACAAGGATACATTTCTCAATCATCACAGGAACCCAAAGATGCTACAGCCCTTATTTCCCCAAATAGCCCTGGGCCTCACTACCTAGAACATTGACTGTCCTCTTCTCAAACAGACTAAAGAATTGGTGTCCCATCATGTCAGACATGGGCCTGAAGTGTGCCTGACTGAATCTTGGCTCAGGCCTGCCCTTCCTCATCACTCAGAACCTCTTCAAACAGGGATGGGCCAGAACTTGGATCCCTTCTATAATCCCTGAGCAAAAACTCGAGGACATTCAACTTGGTGGTCTCAGCGTGGGCCCTGGGACCCTACAGGAACTCATAGCATGCAGGATTGCTGTTGGGCACCTGCCGGTACTCCAGGTACTTTTTCTGCACCCAAACATTAGTGAGGAGCTCTCTAGGCGTCCCATAGTTCCAATGCTCTTTCCCATCATGCAAGCACCTTACATTCAGGGCTTTCCAAACGTCCTCCTCAGGGGCACAGTCACCCTCTGAGGCAACCTCCCATAGAACTGTGAACAGGAGGCCAGTGTTGGGAAATGTGGGCTCATCACATACCATCCCATCATAGGTGAGGCCCAAGGTGGTCACCAGGACATAGGCGTGGGCACTGGGGTCCACTTCCTTCACATCAATGCCAAAGACCAGCTGCATGCACGCAGAGGCTGTGCTGAAGATCTCAGGGAAGTGGTCCTGGTGCTCTTTGATGACACTACTCAGCATTTCTGCCTTTGTGGTCGGCCCCCTGGTGCGATACTTGAGGAGCAGGAAGGCCACCAGGCAAGCCTTCTTCAAACATAGGGCACCTTGCAGAGAGGACTCGGCCTCTTCGGAGCCCTCCCTGCTGGTTGCCCCCACCTTATCTGGGCTGCTGGAGCCCTCATCTTCAGGTTGGATACATGGAGGGGCTGCCATGGCAGAGGGGGGAAGGCAGGCACCCTGAGGGCTGTGGGGAGGACTTGATGTCTCAGCAGCAGCTGCCTCCTCCAGGCTCTCTTGGAATAGTCCTGAAAGGGAGGAAGAGATAGAGGAGGAGGGAGATATAGCCTCCTCCTCCTCTACCTCCTCAGGCCCAAGCAGCTGCACCGCCACCAGTTCCTGGTTCTCCCTCGGGTCCTGATTGTCTTCCTCAGGCTTGTAGAGCTCATTCCTCTGATGGTGACGGATGATGATGTGTGCTGGGACCGGGACAGTAGTTGGGCAGAAAGTGGGTACTGGGGACTCATGGGCCTGTGAGAGAGAGGGAATGTGAGGGGCCTCAGTTGGGAAATGCACCCTAGGGGGCTCTGACAAAGGCTAATTACAAGTCTCTTTTTCAGAAGTGCTTTTCGGCATCACAGGTGTCTCTGCTCAGCGACCTGTCCAGGAGGATCCTGAAGGAGGAAGTGAGAAGGCTCCTCAGGGTGCAGCTGGCACAACCCAAGGTTCTGGAAAGACAGTGTGGTGAGGAGGGATTGGGTGCTGTGGGGTATCCTCTGTTCCTGATGGGGGATCCCCTCCATGCTCACTCAGGGTCTTCACCTGTCCACTCCAGGACCTTCTCCTCCCCTTGTGCTGGCCTGAAACAAAACACTCAGAACAAGGCTACACACCCCTGAGACTAGCCAGAATGATTTGGAGTGGCCCCACATCTGGCCATACCTGCCCAGAGTCTAACAGGTGTCACCAAGGAACCATAACTATACTCTATTGAGTTCATCTGTCCTGGGATGATGTCCCACTCAGTCCTTACCTTGTCACACTGCAGGAACTGAAAAAACTCCATGTGTTGTCCTGAGGCTGCCCTCCTAAAGGAAAGGTCTCACCTCCATAGATAAGTGAGGTGAAAGTGAGGGGAGCCAGTGCACCCACCAATTCCAGGTCTCCCCATTCTTGACCAATAAGGCTCGGCAGGCCTGGGCTCCTGGTGTCAGAGATCCCCTCATTCTTCACTGTGACTACCCTGTCAACTTGTGGGATCTTGCCTCAGCTCACCTTTGTCCAGACCCCCAGACAAAGCCCTCCCGGAAAGCACCAATCTGGAAATGAGAAGGGGCTCAGCCTGACAGCCTCGCACAGGGTTTCTAGAGCTCAGAGTAGGGGCAGGCTGGATTTGTGTTGGGTCCTGTCTTCTTTTCGGGGTTTGGAGTAAACTCACTCCTCCTTTGGGGTCCTCAATTTAACTTTGGCAACACCCAGGACTCTTCTCACTGTTGAGTGGATACCCCTCCTCATATGACCAGACTTCGTCCACTCAGACCAAGGTCTTCACCTACCTGAGAGCCCCAAGAGACAAATTAGGAGGCACCACATTGCACAAACTCCAGGGGAAGCCTCGGGTGGCTACCATCTCCCCTAAATGCCGACACACCCGCCCCGCATCCCACCCCCGCGAAATCCCTAACATCATCTCAAAATGCTGGCAGCAGGAACTGGGCCCTCTGTCCTGGTTGCATTCCCGGTGCCCATTTGGCTATTCATTTTCACTCCTGCCTGAGCCTGCCCCACCTCCATGCCTCCCACCTGGGATCCTCTATCTCCCTCCGCCTTACAGAAAGACCCTACCTCACTGAGGACTCCCCACTTTCCCACCCCTGATAGAAAGGATCGTGCCACTTAGGTCCACTGTTGTTCCTTTCAGGGTTTAGGACTGGGGACAGCTGGTCTTTGTACCACCCCTCCTTTCTGAGAAGGGGCTGTGCATTGAGGCTTCACGGATGATCAGCACTTTTGCACCGGGCAGATCCTGAGACTAGTCCCTCTGCTGATCTCAAGTTATCTCTGAGACCGAGGTCCTCACATCCCCAAGATCCCCACATCCATGTCCATGTGGCAATAGCAGGAGTTGGCAACATCCAGTCCTTTCTGCCAGGGTCTTCCCGGGTCTGAGAACAGGGCAAGCTAGACACTGTAACGTTCCTCCCCTTTGGAGTGGGGAAGCTGCACACCTTCCTCCCTCTCAGATGGACTTTTCTTGAGATCTGCCAGATCCTGGGATTCTTTGCTATGCTGACCAGATGTGGGCCCATCTACTGACATGCAATTGGCCTTCAAGCCTCACTGCCCTGAGAGCCCAAGGCAGAAGGAAGGGTGCACCACCTGAGGCTACCCCTGCCTACGGACTTCAGGGATGACAGAGGCAGGGCTGCTTTCAGTGGGAACACTGTCTGTGGTGCAAATGCCCTCAGAGACCTGGATACATCCACATTTTTTCTCCCCCAGTGTCCTCAACTTCACGGCAGCACGGCCTGCCCCACCCCCACTCCGCCTGAAGCCCTGCTCCTTCTATCAAACCACCCTCCCCCGCCCCCGTGTCTCACAGACCTAATGCAGAAATCACAAAGCACAATGCGTGAGCTCACCACTCCCCCACCCCAGGAGGCCTGCCCAATGGACACTGTTCTGGGGTCCGGGCCCCCCAAACTCCCTCAGGTTCCTCAGCTTGACAGCAGCAGGACCTGGGGTCCCCCCTGTGCTGCCTGAAGCCCTGCTCCTTCTACCAAACCCCCCGTGTCTCTCAGACCCAATGCAGAAATCACAAAGCACAATGCGTGAG